CCATTCGGTATTTAGTTGGTGATGCGGTCAACATCACACCGACCGAGTTTACTTCCCAGGATCTTGCCCGGTACCTCTTTAAGACCTTGGAGCCAAGGTCATTTTTAAAATAATCCGGCACCTTCAGCACTTCCGGATCCTCCGATGATGGTCTAACCGCTGCAACACGGCGGTTTCTATTGTCGATCGTCGAATGAAGATATGTCTTGCTCTAAATGTTTACAAACAACATCAAAAGCATGTGATGTTTTACCATTAATAATATTCATAAAGATAATTCACGGGGACACATCTCTCTCAAGCTATCTGTCACTTTCATTCTTCCGACAGCATTATAAAATCTTCTGGCACATTCGAGCAATTAGTTCTCATTTTGCAGTCTATCTTAATTCCACTATTTCTCAACCCTTTGTGAAAAAAAAAAACGGGCTGATCACAAAAACAGATTGTGACGGACCAGGTTTTCCTGAAAAGAAACATTGTCGGAGACGGTGCTTTGTGTCGTTTGTTTGGCTTTTCCCCGCGGCTTCACAGAGCGGTAACCCAGGATGTAATAGGGCACCATCGTAGCGACCAGCACGGGATAAACCAAGCACCAGCAACAATCAGCTAAAACCCACGAAGATAGGAGCTATGAGAGCCGGAGTAGACCGGACACACAACCCCAAGTACCACACCGGAATCAGGAAGACAAAGAACAGGAATATCAGGTGTGACAAAGGAAAGAACATCATATAAGACAGCCAAGGAACCTTCCTTCATAAAGCAGGCATCCGGGCGGCTGTAAAAGGATCCAGTTTGGAATGTGTGTTCATCAACTAGAACTGGAACTTAAATTCTGAGCTGCCAGCTCTCTGACTGTAGCCAGTATATCCATAAATGCTCCCCAATGTCCGTCACTATAACTTTGCATTTGTTTATCTTTCTGTATACATGCTTGAGTGTGCGTGCGTGCGTGCGTGTGTGTGTGTTTTTTGTTTTTTCAGTAACCATGACAAGAGGACATAAGATGGCTGCTGTAACAACCTTGTTGTTTTCTCAGAGCCTATTGTTGACTGGCTGAGATTGATCCCACCGACAGCCGTTAAATTCGTGACTTATTATTCATCTAGCTTCTATGACGTCATTTCACAGAAGGCTAGCATGCCTGTGGAAACCGAACTGTTTAAACAGCTGAACTGTTGTTTGCATGCACTGTCTCCTATCTCCAAACCATATGTCTGATACCTTCTCCCCCTCCTCTCTCTCTCTCTCTCTCTCTCTCTCTCTCTCTCTCTCTCTCTCTCTCTCTCTCTCTCTCTCTCTCTCAGTCACAAACATTGCTTTGTATGTAGAAAAAAAATGTGGTAGACAGTACCATAGAGACAGTCTGAATTATAACATACAAAGAACAAGTTAATCAGAAATGCTTAACATAGAATAAGATAACTTTTTTTGTTTGTTTCGATCTCTCATTGTATGCCAACTGTTGACAGTAAAGTAGGTAGTTCAGCCAAAGTAACTGGTATCCAGCGATGTGCAGGCTTGTTGACAGCGACCAGGCGTCTTTCTGTTGGCTAAATGAGGCCTTGACACTTGTATACTGTCTTCCTGGTCTCTGTGCGTCAAGTGAGTGTGCAGAAACAACATGAACAGGAAAACTGTCAGTTAATATGAGAGTCCAGGGTGTACCTCAATTTCAGCAGCGACATCCGTGAGTGACAGCAGCACATTAAGTTACACAGGTGATTGTTAAAATCGTGTCCAAGAAATTAATTGCAGGTTTTTATCCCTATTATAAATATGAAGCTGACAGAGTTGCGCCCAATATGGGTCTTTATCAAAGCAGATGCACATGGCACGACTAAGGCTTTTCTGCTGAGACCACATGATGGATGGAGTCCATGCTAATGATTATGACATGAGTAGACGGTTCGTCTCTGATGTTTTGGCGTCCGATATGCAGTTATCAAGCAGACGTTGTGGGGACAGACCCCCCCCCCCCCCCCCCCCCCCACACACACACATTCATAAACGCACACAAAACACACATTGCACACATGGTGTCCTAATGAAGCTGCAATGCGCAGTACAAGAATTGTCCTAAACTCTCTTAGCGCCACCTGCTATGCCTACTTTGCATTAAGGTGTTTAACTCTGTTCCTCTGTAATCCAGTGGAAGGTTGGAGTTGCAACCCTTAGTTGGAAACTGGGTGGGGCCATTACAGGAGTAAAAACGAAATTTGGATCCTCTTCCGACCACTGAGCTGACTGCATGGTGCCACACTGTGAGCTGTGAACTTCATGGGAAATACTTATTGTCTGTGCTCACGGAAAAGCGAAAATTGTATTTTCAGTAACACTGAGGATTGGCTGGTGACCCCAGAACTGGCGGTATGCCTCGTGCTGTATGCATCTGCAGCTGCTGATTTATAGTCACGACTGCTTCCATCAACTATGATTAGCAATTCTAGTGGCCTGCTTTGGGTCTTGTATCTCTGGCAGCTACTTTATACATTTGCTGCACAATCCTGTAGGACTTTGTGGGACTGTTGTTTGGCATTTCATTAGGGAAATTATAGGCATTTTTTGTGATTTTTACTGGCACAGGAACGGAGCATTTATAGGTGACCCTTCTGCGAATAAGTTGGGACACCAAGTGATAGCAAGATGGCTTGACACGCATAAATGGCAGCGATGGATAATTATAGCAGAGATGTAAATACTGAGCCAAGTCTCCCATGGCTGTATGGTAATGTTGCCGTATTAATAAAGTTCTCACACAAACACACGACGTCAGTCTGTTTGCAGAGCTGGGCATAGAGACAAAGATAAGTGCTTCTCAGGAACTCTTTGACATGTAGATGCAGAATTCTGAAAGTTTAAACATGAGAACGTATATAAAGTGGGCAGATGTGAACTAGCGGCATTGCACACGGTAATAAACCATAAGTGCTCTGCCACCATTACGGACAGTTGATAAGAAACTGTCCGCCTGTGTCGCCGTCCGCACGTAACTCCGTAGCTACAGCGACGTTCCTCCAGTTTCCCCAGAGTGTCAACTCTGTTACCCATTTCCTGGAGGCTGGGTGAACCCCGGGAACCGCCTTGTTTCGAACACCGACAGTGGGCTGCAGTGAGTCGCAGTTAGATTTAAAAGAGAGTCTCGTATCGACTGAACGTATATAACAAACATTACTGTAGTATTTTAATTGTTGCATCTACAGTACAAATGGTAAATGCATGTATATTTAGATAATGGTGTTATTGGATCAAACACTGGACATCATTCTACCACCTTTTATTCATAACAGCCATAGTTTATCAACCCAGCAACTGGTAGCCTGTTGTGAGAGTCGTACACTGAACGAACGTCTGAAGCTCTACTGGGCGATTTCCCGGGAGCTTCTAAAGTCTGAACGTGTGGAACAAATGACGCAACTCAAACACGCAGTTTCACACGAGCCTTTTGTGTATGCTTCCTCTTCTTTTGTCAATATTTGCTTATGCCGTTAGGCGTCGCAATTCATCAGACGATTGGCAGCCGAGCCAGGGCATGATCAGTCCCTTGATACGCTGGGATGATATGCAGGCTGAAGGTGTCAGTAACTCCTTCAATTCATGCTTTCAGGTATTTGGATTTTCAGGTTGTGATCTCTTACTGTTGGCATCGTTGGTTTCATTCTCATTAGATGGCTAAACTATTTCATTCTTTGTTTCCCAAAAATATTGACGGGGATTAGTTTTCTTTCGTGTTCTTTTGTCAATGTCCAAGGGCATTGGTAACCTGAGGTCGGCAGAAATATATTTATAATTTGTATTGTCTCTACTGGGGTAGCAGTTTTTTTTTTTTTTTTACTTGGAGCAAGTTGGTACACGACTTTGTTGGCATGTTGCATTCTTGCTTCTAATTTTATGTCTATTCTACCACTGTATGTAAAGATGCTTCCAGAGTATTTAAATTCTTGCACTTGTTTCAGACTTTGATCTTAATTTTGATGGCTTGATGCTCTCTGCTAATTCTCATGACCTGTTTTTTTTTTCACTATTGATCTTCATGTAATGTTTAGGGCGACTGTCGTGTAGTTGGTTTATGTGGTTCTGAAGCTCTTTACTTTTACTGTTGAATATGCACTGATTGTTGGCAGATTGCAGCTCATTAAACGCTTTCTGTTTATGGACATCTGATGGTGTTATGTATATTTTAAAAAGTAAAGGTGCAAGAACACTCCATTGCCATACTCCTGATATTACTGGGAACCAGTCTGTGAGACCAGCTCTTGTTTTGACGGCGCTTTTACTTTCTCTATAAATAGTTTTTACGCAATCTAGCACTGTTTTATTTATACCATAGTTTTTAAGTACATCCCATAGTTAATTTCCGTTTACGCTGTCAAAAGCCTTTTCTTGATCTATAAAAGCGAAGTTCATTTGGTTTCTGTGTTTTATTGTCTTTTCCTTAGAGCGGATTGCGCGGTGACCGGGTGACGAACTCCTTGTGGTCCGGGTTCACTCCCGGGGGTAGGCAGAAAAGCCACATTTCTCCAAGATTTACGGTATTTACCATGGAATCAAGGCCGAAAGGTTGCAATATCCATAATACCGAGCCTAGGGGTTAAAAACTCATGGCTTCTGGATACTAAAACAAACATGAATAGCACTTGTTACGAAGGAGAATTCTACAACACCATGAGTCCAAACATCATCCAGGATGTGATGCACACGTTGGGCAGCCCTGAACTGCCAAAAAATAGACATTTTACGAATAGCACCGCAATTTTATTAATCCACACAGAAAGGGGTTATCAGTTGTTTTACGCGTAAGAATCTAAAGACGAGGAGATCGAAGCACCTGTAGACCTGTCTGTGAAACTGCGATAAAACTCTTCACTAACTACTTATCCAAATGTCTGCTTACTGTTGGTGTTTCACATACATAGTGAAGCAACACTCTGCAATTATTCACTTTCATCTCAGATTGTGAACTTTCCAAGCAAAGTTAGTGAACTTTATGTACTTACCTCGAAAATCAATTTTCCCATCGCGATTGGTATCAGCCTCATTCATAATTTCCTTGATCTGCTCATCAGACAGTTTGTTATCTGAGGAACGTTAACAATCACCCATGCCATCAATAAAATGTCAATATTTGGCTAGAAAACATAATATTTCTGTATAATTCAGTCAAGTCATCAGACAATGTAATTATTTTTCAAGCTCCCAATTAGTCGACTTTTACGACATGCTTTTGGGTAGTCAGTGGGTCTATTCTGGTTTTCCCTATAATAGGGCCCCAGAACCAATACAAAGTTCACTTTAAAAATCTTGTATAGAATTATAGATAACATTTGGGAAGAAAATTATTTAAATTCTTGTGCCTGTTAACTTATGATATAACATTGTCTGTTTTCAGTGTTTCGAATTTGCATGCACCTTAATTAAAAGCTTATTTAATAAAAAAAAAAATAAAAAAAAACAGTATTTTATGTGAGACAGTTGCCAAGGAAAACAGATGTCAGAAGATTTTTACTAACTATGAAATAAATCCTTTTAGGAGAAGTAAAAAAAAAAAAAAAAAATGATATCTTTTAGAATTTAACCATGTAATCAGTCTAGTGTAATTGCCTATGCGTTCCGATTATTCGTACCTGAATAAATACATACATACATACATACATACATACATACATACATACATACATACATACATACATACATACATACATACATACATACATACATACATACATACATACATACATACATACATACATACATACATACAGACATACATACATACATACATACATACATACATACATACATACATACATACAGACATACATACATACATACATACATACATACATACATACATACATACATACATACATACATACATACATACATACATACATACATACATACAGACATACATACATACATACATACATACATACATACATACATACATACATACATACATACATACATACATACATACATACATACATACATACATACATACATACATACATACATACATACATACATACATACATACATACATACATACATACATACATACATACATACATACATACATACATACATACATACATACATACATACATACATACATACATACATACATACATACATACAGATACATACATACATACATACATACATACATACATACATACATACATACATACATACATACATACATACATACATACATACATACATACATACATACATACATACATACATACATACATACATACATACATACATACATACATACATACATACATACATACATACATACATACATACATACATACATACATACATACATACATACATACATACATACATACATACATACATACATACATACATACATACATGCATGCATACATACATACATACATACCTAGCAGACGGCTGGTAAGACAAAGACATACATGTATAGAACCATGAACTTCTCACCCATGGTGGCCATGAAAGTCTTGAACTCCTGCACGCCAATGTATCCGTTGTGATCCTTGTCAAACATCTCGAAAGCATCTCTCATCTCCGAGCCATACTCCTCTTCAGTAGATTTGTGTAGGTTGTTGTCGATCACGTACTTCTCGAAGTCTGCAAACTCTATGGCTCCACTACCTGTAGGGTGTATACAGGCGGTTATAGGCAAATCAGACACCCCATGAGGAGGCAGAGTGGGAGGGAGAGCAAAGAGAACTCAGCCCGCACAGCAAAAAATACACAAATGCCTAATATTCTGCAGCTGAACATCTGTGGAATAGAAAATAAGAAACTTGAACTTGCCATACTACTAAACAGCCACAGAGTACATGTGGCTGCCCTACAAGAAGCCCTGCATAAAGACTCTGATTTGCATCTCACTGAATATATACTAGTTGTGCCTGTCAGTGCAATGACTGCCGAGGCATAGTGACCTATATCAGAAATGACATACAAGGAGATGTAACAATGCTATCGAAATCTCACCCTAAAGATGCGCAAAAATAAATAGCTGGCACAAAGGAAGCAAATAAACGATACACAACGTGTACAGCCCACCTCAGACAACATGCAACATACCAGAACTATACAAGACACAGTACCATAAAACCCTTCTTGTTGGTGACTTCACGTTGGGGTTACCCTGACTACAATAGCACAGGGAAATACATCCAAGATACTTGTGAAACAACTAACCTATTAGTGCTGCAGGACAAAGAGTTTCCACCTACACTGTTACACAGAGCCCACCTATCTCTCAGCCGACCTGATCTGATCCGACTTAGCAGACGCAAGCTATCCCCAAATCCTGGACGACATAGGAAGTGAACACAAACCAATACTTACAACTGTAAGCACCCCGGCTAAATCGCGCTTAAAGCAGAGAACCCCTTGGAATTTTCGAAAAGCAAACTGGAAACTATTTCAGGAAACATCTGACTGCCTCCTGGGAAGAATTGACAACAGCTGTGTGGAAACGTTTTGTGAAGATATAACAGAAGCAATCCTGAATGCAGCTTTGAAAGTCATCCCAAGGGGCAGTCGGAAGGCAATTAAACCTTTAAGGAATAAGGAAATTCAAAATACTATATCTGAAAAGAATAAAGCAAGAATATTACTCGAAACTGCACGTTCAACAGAAGCAAAGATCCAATACAATAAAGCATGTGCCAGAGTAAAGTTAATAAGGCTAAAGAGATAAATGGACAGAAACTTGCTCCAACTTAGACCTTAGACAGAAGGGAAATAAAGAATGAACTTTAGTTAATAACCTCTCCGACGAAGGTAGAAGGGTGAACCTACAACCAGTGACAGATGGAAGTAAGACAATCACTGAAGACAAGAAGAAAGCAGAACATTTCAATCATTATTTTGCCTCGGTTAACAGAGTAGGTAAGCTGTCAGAACTTGATAGAACACAGCTCTCTCAGTTGTAGAAACAAGAGAGAGCTCCAACAGCCAGCTACTCCCTTTATGAAGATGAATTTAGCATGGATAAATTAGAATAAGCCCTGGAGAAATTAAGACCTAGACGATCCCCAGGTCCAGATAAGATCCATAACGAAATGCTACTACATCTTGGCCAGTCTGTGAGAGAAGTAGTTCTCAGGCTTATTAATAAGACACGGAGATCAAGCAAACTTCCAAAGGCATGGAGGAATGCAAATATCGTCCCCATTCTTAAAACCAAAAAGCCTCCAGACGACCCAAAAAGCTACCGCCCGATATCCTTAACACCATGAACAGGCAGTCTTCAGAACTAACAGTTGTACAGAATATCAGCAGTTCAGACTGACACAAAGAATGCATGACGGCTTCCAGAATAAGAAACACACAGTGACCATCTTTGTCGACCTCCAGCAGGCCTACGACGGAGTATAGAGAAAAAGTCTTCTGATGAAGATGATAAGCATAGAAATACGTGGCAGATTGTATAACTTGGTGAAATACTTTCTGATAGATAGAACAATCCAGACTAAGATGCACAACGCAATCTCTATTAAAGAAGTCTTGGAGGTGGACTTGCCATAAGGCTAATCATTGAGCTGTACACTGTTTCCAATCTTTATCAATGACTTGCCAGAATAAATCAAGGCCGTAAAAAGCCTTGTACACTGATGATCTTGCAATATGGCAGAGTCATGAAAATGTAGAAAGTGGAGCCTAAAGACTAACTGGAGATCTTAGAAGACTGCATGAGTACTGCCAAAGATGGAAACTCAAGGTTAACTATATAAAGACTGTCTACACAATCTTTACCAAAAGCCATCAAGTAGCAAGGAAGGATATTAACCTGAGGTTAGACAAACACCAAGTGATGAAAAAAGAGCACCCCACATATCTTGGAGTTTCACTTGACCAGCAGCTCAACCTCAATAACCATATTGAAAACTTAAGGAATAAGGCATTGAGGCGGTTACAGTTATTAAAGAGACTTGCAGGTACATCATGGGGATCAGACAAGGAAACTCTGAAGGGCTTATATCCTGGATATGTTCGCTCTGTGACAGAGCACAACAACTCACTGCTTACAACCTGCTTCAAAACTAACCTAGAGACTCTTGACAGAGTACAACACAATGCCCTCCGATTAATCTGCGGAGCTATGCGGTCTACACCAACTGCTGCATGTGAAATCCATACAAATGTGGAACCCCTCGGGTTGCGGAGAGAAAAAGCCACTTTAGAAATTAATGAAAGATGCGTTAGAATGAATCGTAACCTTCCTAATAGACACCTGGTAGAAAACTGGGAATACAAACAAAGAATAAAGCACAAATCGGTTTTACACTGTGTTCATGAAATTCAGGACATATACCACCTCCGAGGAAGACTTCAGGACATTAAGAATGTTGCAAAAAACCTACCACATGCTCGCTTTAAAGCTCCAGAAGTCCGAATTAAATTGGTAGGCGAGGAAACCAAACAGTTCGACCCAATCGCTCATAGGAGCTCATCGCTAAAGGTCGTTGATTTCTACCGCCAAGAATGGATACATGTTTATACTTGTAATGGGGGATATTTTCGACCCAGTTTAGGATGGTTGGGGGGAAGGCCCAAAGCTGACCGAAAACACCGAGATAGTCCAGATACTTGGATTAAACGAGAAT